CCTTCAAAAATTTCTAGATTACACTTGTCCCGTGTCAGCGCTCTCCTATTGTGAAGATATGCTTACTTTTTAAATTGTAGGAAATTTCAGGCTGATAAAACATGATATAACTCAAAAGCAAGCACAATTTGATGCAAATAGATGTTTGTGACATAACCTCAAAATAGAGTTCTGACACGGAGAAGCAGAAAACTATGACAATCAAGGAGGCCATAAAGGCGCCCTACAATTGTAGGGACGACTGACGATACGGGCCTTAGCTACGATTTCTTGAATCTGCTCATTGATGTCAATTGCCATTTGCTCCACCCGTCTCGTGACAGTGTGCCGTGAGAGTGAAATACTGTCCGCTTTAGCTTTGACGTTTTTATCGTCACAACTTTGTGCAAAGATCGTCAAAGCCTCTTTAAGAATCTCTCCATCGGAAAACGGTTTCTTCTTTTTGGCTAACAGCAAAGAAATCTCATAAGATGTTTTGACCATGGATTCAAGGTCGTCGTGCCTTTTAACGAAAATATTCTGTTGGTTAAATAGTTCCCGTTTCTTTTTCTTTAAAAGATCTTCTCTGATAGCATTACCAACACGGTACTCTTTTTCAAAATTATTATGATTTTGCTTATAATACCTTTCTAAATTATATTTTTTTTGCAATAGCTACTGTAGTGAAGCAAAGTAAACATGTAGGTTTACGCTTTCAATAAAACAATATTTATTTTCCCATGCATCATGAAAAACACGATAGGCCTCTGTTGATTTCGAAGTACTCGGTTTGCTGTGAGCCATACTGGAACAAAGCACATTTTGTTTATAATATAAAGAAAATATAAACTCATACAATCATACTTTCCTTTCAAAATAGGTAGGTACCTGAGTAATATGAAAACATAAATACTTAATGAATAACATACCTTTGACAGTCAATGTAAATACGAAATTTACGAAATATATGGGCCAGTTATTCATCAACAAAAACACAAATAAAAAAACCTAACTTTCAACAGTCAGTTAAACTATACTCGTATAACACGTGCGCACTCAATTGTTTCTCGAAACATAATGAGACTGTATTGCGCGGGCGGGGTCGATGAGCGTGCGTACTATGTAGGTACTACGTTCGCGGCGGGCAATTTGGCGGGATTTTCCAATTTGGCGCGTATTTCAAAACTTACTTGCGCGGGACATTTAAAATTCTTTCATTGTGGCCCGCGGGCCTGGGGTTGAGCACCATTGATATAATCTATATTTGTATGTCTTCCAGGTAACAGTTGATTTGTTTCTGTATAGCCGCGGGGATAGAAGCCTAAATGCCAGGGCACCGCGGCTGCTATGAGGAGCCTTAAGAAACTTATTTAATCCGATTTTTGAACTTCCTTAGTACAACTGGGAAAAGCCTTCTCATGTAAATTGTTCCACAATCTTGATACCCTAGGGACAAAGGAGCGGTATTATCGGCCAGTTCAGGATGTACGAAGTTCGACAGGGTTAGGATGGAAGGCCGAAGTGAGGCGGGTCTGTTTGGCACTCACTTCGCGCAGCCGCATCTTGGAGGACAGCTCTGAGAAAAGGGTCCTAAGACTGTCGGATAGAAAAGAGTCAGCGATCAGTCGGCCAGCCCTCTTCTGAACTGCATCAAGCATGGATAATGTAGTCGGGGCGACACCACCCCAAACATGTGAGCAGTACTCGGGGCTGGATCATAGCTGGGCCTTGTACAGAGTGAGGAGGTCATGTGGAGAAAACTGCTTCTCAACCCTAAACAAATCACCCCGAATTCCGGCATGTAGTGCTATCATCAGTAAACCTGTATATCGGATAGACTCAACAGGAAAGGAGGTCGTCGATATGTAAAAGGAAGTGTCTGAGCCAAGACCGATCCCTGGGGAACGCCCGCGTTGACGTTGTGGGATGAAGAGGAGAACCAGTCAGTGACGAGAGATATGTTGCGGCCAAAGAGGAAGTCATACATACATCTGCAAAGCTTCTCTGGGAGGCTATAGGATGGAAGAGCAACGACATGAGCCTCATCGTAAGACTGGATGAGGTTACTCCACAGGTGGAGTAAGCTAGGAGGTGGTGCCGGAAACAATACTGCCTGTCACTAATCAAGCCGTGACGTTTGAGGTACTTGAGAAGCTCACAATTTATGCACCTCACATTAACCTTATAACAGAAAGCAAAGCTATAGGCCTGTTAACAACTCATTGTAGCAAAATCGGATCTCAGATTGTTAGACCTACCCTTTTACCCATAGCGGCGCAGTGTCCTCGACATATTCAGTGGTAATTCGCGCCGCTCTAGTTTGCACCCCCAGGCGGTTATAGGAAAGAAGGCGCCCTAGTCGCACGTTGTCTTCCGCGTCGAAAGTCCGCCCCCCGAATGAAGGGTGAGTGTCGACACACGTTCGCGGTTTTTCGTACTTGACTACTAATTTTGTAGGTATGGTTCGCTTCAATTAAGACTTCTCACATGTAGCTGTTCTGAACATTCTTTCCAGTTATACAAAATATGTCACATTCAGAGAATGTGTCATTTGAATTATATTTCATTGTAGGCAAATTATCTAAATACACCTGATGAAAATTATGAAATGCAAGATATGCAATATTTCTAAACTATTCGTCTTTAAAATAGTTTATTCTTCGAATGAGCCTAAATTATAGAAATGTAAAAAGCATACAACTTTTATTACATAATATTAAAAGACAATAACGTAAAAGAGGTGAGGTCAGATCTTTGTTTGTTCATTGCGTGCCTTATCTGCCCGTTGGTTCTGTATAAATTTTGCATCTAAGTATTTATAGAAAACTAGAGATTTGAAACTAAATAGTAGTAACATATAGGATGATTTATAATATTATTTCAATCCATGTACATAAGAGTATCTATTGGCTCTAAGCGTCCATTCACGCACGCGACTTGAGTCGTGCGACATTTTTTGTCAACAATGCTTGACGTACAGGGTCTTCCGCACTTAAATGGATATAGGAAATTTCAGGTAGGAGACCTTTTCATATCTGAAAATAACAAAAGGAAAATTGAATATCCCAGGAACTATTGAACCAATTTGGTGGAGATTTTGCACACGTTAACCAACTTACCTAGGAGTAAAGTAAAACTAGACGGACCGTTAACAAATCCGGGTCTGTTCACGATTTATTCAATTTTTTGTTTTTTGTCCTTTTATCAACACCTTTTAAGTCGATTATTGAAATGTATGACTATGCACAAAAAGCCATTGACCAGTGATAATTAATTAACAAAATAGATTGATCTTTTCGATGTTTAAACATTTTTATTCAATTATGTTATTTTTAGCATTTTATGTAGCAACATAACTCAAAAGTTCAAGGGTTCTCAACTTGGTTTAATTATTCATTATTGTACAAAATAATGCTTAAAATTGGACTTATGATATTTTGGAACTCAACATTTCAGGCTAGGATTCTGTTTTTTTTTTCTTGTATTTCTGAATTTATTATTATTTCGCAGAAAAAAGAGCAATACATGATAGGTATAAATAAAAGAAAAAAATAATATTATGCATCCTATTTACTTTTTTGGTAACTTTTTCAAAAATGAATTTTTGTAACTGATATTGTATAACGAGTTCTGCATTTATTAAGCAATCCACTAAATTTGACCTTCCAGGTGAGAGCATGTAAACGTAACTATGCTGAAAATGCCAAGTCCGGGCCTGTGGAATAAATTTTTATACTATACGAGCATAATCTTGAATTAGTCAAATTCAGTGCATACTAATGCCGTTTCCGTTTAAAGTAGGACTCATATTCTTGTACAACATCAGTTGGTAGAATTAAACCGTAAAACATCACTGAATAAACAAAATACGGTGCATGACATCAATTTTGCCTTTTGTTCATATCATGCATCGCTCTTTGTCTGCGACGTAGACTCAGAATATAACTTACAGAGCGTAAAACATAATAAAATACAAGATAAAAAAACTGAATCCGAATTATGGAATTCTGAGTTCCCAAAACATCGTAAGTTCCACTTTAAGCACTATTTTGTGAAATGATGACGAAACCAAGTTGATAACCCTTATAATTTTCAGTTTTGTGTCACATAAACTGCTAAAATTAAGATATTTGGATAAATATTTTTCAATAAAAACCAAAAGAGGTGTAATCAATCTACTTTGCAAATTGAATAGCACCACTCATTGGCGCTTTTTTGTGCTTAGTCAAACATTTCAATCTTAAGCCGAAAAGGTATTAATTTTGACAACAAAACAGTGAAAAAATCGTGCCCAGCCCGGGATTTTTAACCGTCTAGTTTTACTTCTAGGTTATTTTTTTATGTGCAAAATTTCGAAAAATCAGTTCAGTAGTGTCCGAGATATGTGGTATTAAAGATTTGAGATATTTAGATAAATAATGGCTATAGAATTTTTTTATTTTCAGATATGAAAAGGATGCGGTCCATACTACCTACCATTCCACTAAGTCGCACACCATGTATACTTGAGTCTTTCTGATTTCATTGTTGCACATTCTTGACTGCCACTCAAGTCGTGTGCATAAATGGGCGCTAATGCCTTATTATAACTATACTTTGACAAATGCTTTGAACATTCGAATATATACTGTAAGTTAAATAATTATAAAAAATAGTCAGTGGCATTTATTCTAGAAATTAAAATCGTTCGGTCTATTTCACAAAAAAAAATCGTTACGGACAACAAAATGACTCGAAAGAGTTCAAACTTGCACTGAAGGCGAATCACATGTTCCCCTGCCTCCCATCCAATCATGGCGCCTCCAGTGTAGCCAGATTGAACGTTACATTGCCAATTTAATCACTTCATTTCCAGACCTCGTATACTGTACGAAATTATGTTTAAGCGTGCCCTATAGAACAAATTCAATTGCTTTCATTATACTTTCAGTATATCTTCACATTTATCGGATTTCGCTTAGTATAAAGGTCATTATCATTCACAAAAACACCCAATGTCGTTATCTTAGACCTCTTCCGGCAATTAGAAATAGACTTCCTCAAATGTTTTTATGGTTCGCGTTTTATGCGCTTCTCACTGTCGATTGCCACATCAATTTTTCAGCTGAGCGTATTCGTGATGAAAGTAGGCAACGAGGTAAACCGCAATATTGTGAATGATTGAGAGACTATATTTGATTAGACATGTCGTGTGTTTTGTACCTGGAATGTAAGTAAACATTCGTGTTATTCATTTTCATTGGAAGTCCTACTCACACGATGGTTTCACGAATCAATAAAATAGAATATTATTTGTCAACACATGTTTTATAGTGGTTTATAATTGAAACTTGTTACTATAGTAAATAGCTAAAGAAAACTAGAATTCAATAAAACATGTTTCTGCCCAAATGTTTATAACAAAGAGTCAAACACTATTTTCAAGTGACAAATTCAGTATGACCAAGATGAGCATTAGGACCTCAAGAGCGGCTGTTGGAGTACAACGTTGATGAAAGTTCCGAAACTTTGGAATTATCTAAACGCTTTTATGTGCTTACAGAATTTTGCCAATTTCTGATTCAACTTTCCTGAAAAAAAAATTAGCAATTTTGAATTTTGTTTATTTCTGTCATTATTTCAGTAGACTTTCGAATAATCTCAGTTTTTATATATCTTTAGTATGACATGGGGTACGTTTTAACTCTAAGAACAATGACTAATATTTTTAAATACGACCTTTTATTTCAAAATCTTACGCTTTTTTTATTCTTGAACCACCACATGTAACACGCACACATTCTGGCCCCGCGTTGGAAATCCGCCAGGTGGTACCTCCGCGGTCAAAAGTCAGAGACCGTCTACAGGCTGTGATTCAAGTATTCTTCACGTTGTTTTGTTTTAAATTTTTGTTTTTTTTATTATCGTCAGAAACCACGAAGGCCTACGGCGTAAACACCCATTGGGTACCGTGGGGCTATAGGGGGATACACGGGAAAGGGGGGGACGCCATATGGACTCTGGCGAGGGAACACGTGTGCATGCAACATGCACACATTCTGGCTCCGCCTACAAGATCCGCCGGGTGGTACCTCCGCGTTCGTTAGTCAGTGACCGTCTACCACCTACGGACAATCACAACATCCATAGCCAAGAGAAAAATTTCTCCTGGGACGGGATTTGAACGCACAGCGCACGGCGACTGATCAGGAGACCGAAGAGTCTACTACTGCGGCCACCGCTGCTGCCTAAACAAACAAAAAATCTTGAGTACCATAATGAATATTTCATTTTCGATTTCTTCCAATTTGCAAATTTTTTGAAGCTCAATGCTTATGCCATAGTCTTATAATAATATGATTTAAATACTTTTTACATTTCTATGAGGTATCTTTCTGAATTACAATCATTAGAATTATGATAATAAAATGTACGTAGATGAGAACCACCGTCGGTCGTACAATTAATAATGAATCTTATTTTTTAATTACTGAATTTATGACATCGGTAACAAAATTTACAAGATTGCTCTTCCTCAAAATACTTAGAATTAGAAAAAGTATAGGTATTCAGTTTTAGAAATTTTGTGCATGAGGTATCCAGATTACGCAATATTTTTTATTTAAGGAATATGGTAAACTGGTACTCGAGAATAGTGTTTGACGGTTTATTACGATATAAGCAGGTTTTTGTCAAAAATCGTTTTTTATCAAATAACATCAATGGAGAAATTTCATTGCTCTCAGAAATAAACAGAATCGAAGTACCGACGAAATGTAACTTCAAGAACCTCCATCGGTTGGTTACTAACATACGTAATTATTATAGTTAAATACAAAAATGGAAGAGGGCAGAATACCACGTCGTACGCCATTGCTAACGCGGTGGGCCTCTTTGTATGCCTGACCAGGCGCGGATCCAGCATCATGTCTTGGGGGAGGGGAGGGCAAGTAGTGTGGGTTGCCTACTTTCATGGGGAATTGTCAAGCCGTTTGTGCTCAGATGAGATGACACAACTTCATTCTCCCTCTTTCCTCTCTCTCCACAATAAGCAAATAACTTCTTTCTTAATTCCATATGCCGATCTCCGCAAAATATCAATTATTTAAAACAAGCTTTTATTTAGCTGTTAATAAAATGAACTAAAAATTATAAAAATATTTTTTTCCGATTGGAAATATTTAAACGATAATGAAGGTCCTTCATCTAATGCTTTCAAATGAAAATGTGTAACGCTTTCAAATGAAAACGTGTAACGCTTTGACAGCAGGTTTAAATGCAGGATGTTAATAAAGTATGTAGACAAACTTTAACCGTCGAATCCTTGGTCAATTTGAAAACGAAATTGCCATATGAACATGGGTCCGCAACGCCTTTGTTTTCAAGCTAGAGCATATTAGCACTAAAAGAAATGATATTGTTTTAAAAAATTATAAAAGAATGGAACGTATTTTATTTTAATTATCCAGTATTTTTGGAAAAAATAGCATGACATTGATTTGTTTTGATCGCAATACTTTTAATATTTAAGCATCGTGCTTATCTAGACACCTATGACGTACCCGAAAACAATTGAATTAATTTATTTTCTCAAATAATTCGATAGCTGTCAAATATTTGTTGTCTTGTCTGGTCAACTATTCGATATGTTCTATTGTTGTCGTTCTATTCGAATGTTACTGTTCAAAACTATTGACCTTCTAAATAAATTGTTTTTCCAAAAATACAGGATAATACTATTTTCATCCATGTTCATATTGAGCTTCAGCAACTTGTAAAACATCCAAATTTATCATAGGTTATACTAACAATACGTTAGAAATATTTGGAGCATTACTCGTATTTCTTTAGTGATAGTGCTCTAGCTCGAAAAGAAAGCCGTTACGGACCCATGTTCATATGAACATTTAATTTTCAAATTGACCAAGGATTCGATGGTTAAAGTTTGTCTACATACTTTATTAACACCCTGTATATCCAATTGGAAAAAATATTTTTAAATTTATAGTTTATTTCATTAACAGCTAAATAAAAGCATATTTTTAAAAATGTATTTTTTTATTTTATTTATTGGTTATGTACCTGCATAAGTTAGTTCCTGCTAACACTTTTGTGTGACAATATTTTTACGGCGTACTCAAAATGATTTAAAAGTGAAAACCTCGTCAGGATATCGGTGATTCCCGGCTGAACCCGTCGAATGGGCGACTCGCAAGAACACCAGCAGGGGCAGACCAATATTGAGTTGGGGGATTTGTCTCCATCTCCAACCAATGGCAGGGTAACTGACAACGCTGATGGCGCACGTGCAGCTCCAGGTGAGGCAGTCCGATGATAGGGTATCGGCTTTTCGCTGTTTTGGTGGGGGAAACGTAGTTGGAAACGCAAATTTCATGTAAAGTCAGAATTGCTGATCTTTAGAGATGTTGCTAATTTATTCAATCTTCAGAGCACCGATATGAAGAATGTACTTTCAATTTATTCGGCTAAAGAAATGTGAAAAAGTATTTTTTCAAATTTCATAATCGAAAATTGGACGTTGATTGAAAAAGTTCAGTTGAAAATATTTACCAAGAAAATACTAAAATACACAGACATCAAAAAAACAAAAAAACAATGTCAATAAACGTGTGCACATATTAAGAATTTATCATGGTTTTCCTTTGTACAAAATTCCAATGTAGTGTCCATATGAAAAAACAAAGTTGGTGATGGAAGCCGAAAGAAGATACCTCGAATTGAAAATTTGTCCAGGCCATCTTGTAGAGCAGAAAAAGTGGCAACAACAACATGTCATTTATTTTGAAATCCCATCTCAAATAGTCTGGAAAAAAATAATTTTGCGATAAATGTGGTATATGAAACAAATGACTATATGATAATATCAAATCCTACCTAGTAAATTCTGTTTTTTTTTCAATAAATAAAGCTTGACAATGTTAATGTATGACAGTTTTGAAATCAGAATTAAAAACTCTTCACCTGCGCAAAAAACAATATGGCGTCCTTAAGAAAAAAATAAGGTTGGTGCTGGACGACAAGAGAGGAAGCTTCATATTGAAATTTATTTTGAAATTCCACTACAAAGTTAAGAAAAAATTGAAATGATTTTAGGGAAAATTTGGTTTTATTCCGTCTCTTCCAGAGAGTTTCTAAGCGGCATTTTGTTAATTAAATACGTTACTCCATTTATCAATGTTTTATGACTTCCTAATAATTTTTTGGCGTGATAAAAAAGATTTTTAAATATAAAATAGTGTTTAAAAATTCGAAACTTAGTTTTACGATTATATTCATAAGGTGACTTCAATTAGTAGTTTAGGATTACGAGCATTTTGAAATAAAGCATGTCTTATATTTCACTTGTATTACGAAGTCCGCTTAGAATGTTGTATCTAAATAGTGTGTGGGAAATACTTAGTTAATCTATCTACTTAGTCCATTTTTCAAGCTTCTCGTCATTTGAACTCGTAGTTTTGGAGTGATAAAAAAGCTTGCAATTTTACGGTTAGCAGTCCTGCTTGTTAAAGAATCATTGATTGATATATGAAGTTTTCCATTCTCATATTTATCTTCTCAAATCTACCAGCAGTTTTGACTGTTTCAAAAATGTATAAGTAGTACTGGATTCGTTTGTATACGTAAACTGAAATTAAGACAGATTTACATTAGTACTAGGAAAATGGGTATGATTCATTTACTTGATATATATGTCTGCAGCTTTGAACTATGGGTGTTGTTAACCTTTAAGGTGTATTTAAAGATAATCACAATCCCCTTCATTTATATTTATGTAATTTTGGGCGTAGGTGTATACAGTGTTCAGTATTTGGTAGGTTTTAAAAATAGACCGATATGGTCAAATTGGAGTAAGAAGTTTATTTATAGTTTTCATCAGATATTTGAAAACGGATTCCAAAAAGGTCTGTGGATACACGCTGATGCCGAATATGAGGTTCGGCAAATTAGAAAATATGAGTTCTTAAAAAAATTAACTACGGGTTATAGTTCTAAGGGGCCTAGAAAATCATAGAAATGTGAAGATACAAGAAAATAAAAATGAATATTATTAAATACAATAAAAAATGAAGGATCGATGTTATTTTGTACAACCGTACTAAAAAAATTGACAGTTGCGTTTCCAACTATTGCTTCATGAGTCCGTGTTGGATATCACAATATTGTAAATATTCACTAAACTTGTACATACAATTTCTCAAATAAATCTTTTCTTTCGTAGTCTGTTTGCTTTTCACTTACAGTCACTTTAATATCAGTACCCTGTTTTACTATAGTGTAGCCATGAATTTTGTACAAGTTTTCTAAATGCATTATTTCATAACATGGGACTTTCTTGCGCGTATGTAGGGATGGCAACGATACATCGATGTTTAGGCATCGATGGTTTTATGACGCTATATCGATGTATCGACATCGAAAGGATCATAAACATCGGTATACCCCGAGTATATCCCTAACTGTGCCACCATCTCGAAGCGAGGACTGGTAGCTTCTAAATTGAAAGCCCAGAAAGCTGTTTAGTAGTATCTCAATATTATCATTACAGACGTGAGATGGACTGTAGTCGTTTCTTTATTCTGTACTTCTCCGAGGGATATAATAATAAACTGAAAACAGCGCATTTACGCATTTAATGATTTCACGTTCTTTTGATTATTTTATTGTATGTAGCTGTAGTGCCGCCATTTCATTGTTAATTAATAGAAATGCCACGAGAAAGTGATGTGTGGAAATACTTTAAAAAACACTCTTCATTTTGTGCACCGTGTAAAGTATTTAATGATCACCAATGTGTTCTTAATTTTGACAATCTCATAGTTTGCAGTTTCCTATAATCATACCTTTTTACTGAATTATATTGCAATCGGTATCCTTCTTTCATCCTATCGTGAAGTTGCTGTCGTGTTTTTTATTCGTACTAAATGGTTCCGAAATCGGGAAAAAAAAACGCGGTGGGAATTCCTCCAACGGATAAAATTACCATTCCGCTAAAACCGATAGCAATCGATGAATTCGTTGCTGAGTTGAATATAGAAAGCGTTACAAAGAAGAGTTGTTTCGATACATCGATGTATCGATGTATTTGTTCCAATGTATCGAGCTCTATCGATGTTACGATGGCGATGTTTGTCGATGTCCAAACATCGATGTTTTCTAACAAATTGCCATCCCTACGCGTGTTTCAATACCAAATTGAATAAATTCGTTTGTAAAAAGTCTGCTTAGCTATCATCTCACCTTTTGTCTAGCATACATTTATAACAGGAATGTTGGAACTTCAAGTATATCATTCAATCAATGGTTATTCCATCGCGGCATTAAATGTATTGTCTGTAGTAACATTTTTTTATTTTAAAAAGATCCGATTTAGAAAATCCTGTTAATGCGTATTGGAGTTGGCTATACTATATTAAAGTATTACTAATGCACTGTTTTCTCTGTTAACTGTGGTACGGGAATGTTTAAGACAGTAGGCGTCTTACTTCGTGGCGCCTTCTGGCTTATGGTTGTTAATCAAGCATTGCAATAATATTAGTGGGTGCGCTATTTACTTTGTCACTGAGTACATATTACTGTTAGAGGACTAACACTATTAATCACTGGGATCATTAACACAATTTATCATTTCAGTAATCTATTACTTCACGCTATATAATTATTTAAAAACCCAGTGCTCTTTCGAATAAATTTAATATCGCGCAACGCCACATTTGACTTCAGTGAAAGGCCAGACATGCAGAAGATTGAGATGGGTGCATCCGTACCGGGTAAAACGATACTTTGTGAATGAGTTGTCCTGCAGTGTTACCCACCGTACCCGTAATGACTAACTTCAAGCATTACTGAGGTGAGGTGCAAAGCGGACCACTAATACATTTATTTAAGCAGGGAAATTCAATTCAGTCAAATTTTGTTGAAACTTCATAATGATTGTGCAAATAATCAATTGAAAATTAAACTAGAGAATTTTGAAAATGTATTTCCTGGATCGCTATTTGTTGGTCTATCTATCGGTCTGCCTGTCGGTCCGTCTGTCCGTCTGTACGCTAATCCTTGGCCTCTCTATAACTTGAAACTTGACACAAGGTCACCTCGATGCCAAGAATAGAAAATCTTGGTGGTTCTTGAAAGTTGATCTAATGGCGACGGAACAGAGGTTCCCGATGATTTTCAGAAAAAAACTTGTAGGGGTTGAAAATTGCGGGTTCGGCTTGTAGGGGGAGGAGAGGTTAGGTATGTGATACATCTTTGTAATTACGTTTTTTCTCAGAGAGTCTAACTTGTACTGAACATAATCCTTTAGGAAATGATGACGGCGTATATATTTTGAGACATCTTTATAAAATGCCTTAACATGTTATCCCTTCAGGAATGGACAGGCGGATCCTTCACTATTGAGATATTAACGGGATTCATCCAGGCTAATGAACGATATTTTTATTGTCGGTTTAACAAGGTTACTGTTTTTAACCATGTGCAGATATGAGCATTTAAAATAGTAAACATAACATGAAGTCGTTATCATATTTAGTGTGCTTATACAAAAAAAATGAAACATCAATTTTCATCCGACTGTCTCAGAAGGAGGGTAATGTTTTTCTCACGGGCTAGAGGTGGATGGTGGATTTTAATAAAATAGTTTAACCTTGAAATTCCTCTTTCAAAGGCTACAGCTTAAATGGCTTGATGGGTGAGGTGTGGTTGGATTCGACTTTGCAGTGCGAGTGACACTGGCTATATTAAATTTTTATAAAAACAAAATGACGCATTTTAATAGTACAAATCATTCTTGAAATTCCTATTTCACAGGATACTCCTTAAACGGCTTGATGGATGATATATGAGGTGCCTCTAGATTTCTCTAGACACCACAATTAAATCTTCATTCCTTTTAGTTACTGGAGTCGGGTAGTTTGCATTTCTTGAAAATGTACTTGTATATCAAAAAATTACATCTTATCGCATAAAAAGTTCATTCTTGAATTCAGCACTCTCAGGAGGAGGGTAGCAATCCATAGATTGAAAAAAATACACTTCAAGGACTAAGAATAGATTAGGCCCTTTTTCTCCTATTCATTAATTTAGGGCTAATTACCCGCACCCATAAAATTTTTATGCAGCAGGACATGGTTTTTGAATAAAAAATTGTTTTTTTCATTAATATCCACAGTATTCGAGATAACGAATTTATTTTCGTACTTGTGGTTTTCAAATTCAAACGTGTCAAACACGTCAAATATATGCTTTTCTTGACTTTGTTCAATAGACTTATTTATTAAAAGCTTGCTTAGGATTG